CATTACTTTAATTGGATAAAGCAATCTCCTTGACTTATAATAGACTAAATGCATAATTATAATTGAACAAGTCTGTAAAGAGTCAAACTTACAACTTCGATAGTATGAAAGTTCAACATCTAAATCCTTCATCAAAGCTAGACTCAATGGAAAACATGGTGTTAATCAATTAGTTTAGATTCTTAGTTGCAAAATCATTATCTTTTGTGTCGGTTAAACCCTTATATTTTGGCAATTAACTTTTGTTTTGCCAATTAAGATGAGGAATGTCTTCCACCAACACAGCAATCAGACTAAAGGTGACCTTTTGCCCATAACTGACTGCTTCCTTTGATAATTGATAGATATGGATTGAGTTAATGGACATGTTTACTTTAAGGCCTAAAATTAAAATTCTAATTAAAAGTGTAATAAATATATATATTTATAATTTATTTACAAAATAAAAATAAAAATAAATATTTTTTTTAATATTAGTGATATAGAAATATTTTTAATTAATTAAATTAATTATATTTATATTATATTTTAATTATAAAATTATGTTTTTATTTATACAAAATCTCAAATTATCTCGTATCTTGGAAGAAACACATCTTTTCGCAAAGCACAAGCATTAAAATCTTGGTTCAAATCTAGGTGTTTGCTATTCCATACACTTCTTGTTTCAAAGAAATAACCGATGATATCAATGTGTGAGTACTGAGTAATAAGGAGGTAGTTTATGGTTAAAAAGGACATGTTGTCAATATCTTATTCATAGGTCAACCGGGAGGGAAGCGTCCAAATCAAATTAACCTGCCATTCGCAACAAGCATACGATAGATTATGATATCCTTTGCTATTATTCTATCTCTTGCTTATTAATATTTTGCAATTAAGTGTAGAGATGTTTGGAGAGAAAATGTGTAAATAAGGATATTAATTTTATATTTTTTTTATTTAAGGATATAAGTTTTGTTAATGTCTAAATAAAAATGTTAATTTTTAATTTTTTTTATTTAATAATATTAAATTTTAATTTTTTTTATTAAATGATACTAATTTTAACATTCCAATTGAAAAATCTATTT